GGGGAAAGAAGGAAGGAAGGAAGGAAGGAAGGAAGGAAGGAAGGAAGGAGAGAAAGAGGGAGGGAAGGAAGGAAAGAGAGAAGGAAGGAAGGGTGGAACTAAAGAGCAAAGGAAGGAAGGAAGGGGTAGAGAAGGAAGAACTGAGAGAAAGGGGGAGAGAATGAAAAAAGCGGGAAGGAAGGAAGGAAGAAAGGAGAGAAAGAGAGGAGAGAAAGAGGGAGGGAAGGTTGGCCACAGCAACACATGGTGGGTACGGCTAGTAAATAAATAAGAACGAATGCAGTTTGACACCGCTTTCACTGTGCCATCCTGGGAGCTGTAGTTTGACAAGGCCATCCAACCTCCTCTTGCCCGGGAGAACCAACAAGGTCATGGTCAAGCTCTGAGATCCAGATCAACCAGTTGGAAGAACCAGATAGACGACTGCAAGGAACCCAGTCAAGGCCGGTTGAAACCAAGGCTGGCAGCAAGTAGGAGGAAGGATCGAGATCTAATCACACTTGTTAAAAAGACACACAAATCCATTTGTGCAATGCAAGAAGTCGGATGATGATACAGACACACTAAGTGTTGCATTGCAATAAACACACATCTGCCTTCCTTGATGCCTCTGAATACACATCTGCCAAGGAAACTCCATGATAGGGAAGTGAACACACTCTCTCAGCCTCAATGAAGGCAAAGGAAAACCTCCACGGAATGAATCTGGACGCGGCAGTGGATAGAGTATTGCAACATGGTCTGGATACCGGGGCTTGAATTCCTTTTCTTAGCCATGGGAAACTGTGAGGTCACACGCTCTCAGCCTCCTCCTGAGAAAGATGTATAATATCACAAAGGACGACCACCTCACCCGCCTCATAGGAAACCTGCTACAAAACAGGAGCTTCTTTGTTGAGTTCCAGGGCCAGAGAAGCAGATGGCGGAAACAGAAGAACGGCCTGCCTCAGGGGAGCGTGCTTGCTCCATCCATGTTCAACATCTACACAAATGACCAGCCACTGTCAGAAGGCACAGAGAGCTTCATCTATGCTGATGATCATGCCATCACTGCTCAAGCAGGGAGCTTTGAGATAGTTGAACAGAAGCTCTCCGAAGCTCTA